TTGGAGTTCTTTGTACCGTACCAAAGATATTTACCAAATATTTCAAAGTTTTAAATCTGTTTGACTTGAAACTGCTGACTTTGGGAAAAAAAGAAAAGACCTTGCTTATAATTTCTTAAAAGTATAGTATCTCCATGATTCCGCAGCTTGAATAGAACAGAAATCTTCGGAAAATGTCAAATCTAAAAGCTGATATTCATTGGATGAATTCACAATGTCCCAAGATACATTGGACCAAATCCTAATTACCTTTTCTAAAGTTCCTTATTAAAAATATAAGAGAAAAGAACCTTGCAAATCCTAAATTGTGATGCCAAAGCTTATGCAGTAATTTTCTATTTTCTTGAAGTAAATGTGTAAATAGGAGCAGGATCAAGGAATTCTTCATTCTTCTCTTGTGTTACTCTTTTTTCCATGGTTACCTTTAGCATGTAACTCATCTATTGATGTTGCTTTTGCTATTTTGGGAAAACAAGCAGTTAAATTGTATGGATTGCTTTGGTATACTTTAATAAGAGCAGTCTGCATTGATCATCTTCAATAATAAGGTATCCACCTAGAGAAAATGAAGGGGGGGGGGAGATTGTGAATATGTAACTCTTTGTCTACAAACTCGGTGCTGTTTAAATGAATATCCTTTAAGAGCTCTTTCAGATGCAACAAAATCAAATCTTTTTAAACTAACAGTTTAAACTTTAAAACAAACATTATAGCAGAGATTTCAGATAATTACACCTACAGAACACCTCTGCAAAAAGATATACATTTTATACCTACTGGATCAATAAATCCTTCCTTTCGCCTTCCCTTTCCTCTTTTCCCACCATTGGGTACTGAGCCTGTCCCCCCCCTTCTCAATGCACTCTTGTCTAAACCATGCCTGTTACCTGAAGGACTGTATGCCAATATTAATGTGACCTGACAAATGCGCGCTAGACAAAACCGCGCCGACAAAAGCGCGGTTAGGGTTAGGATTATAACGTTTCACGTCCCAATATGTTGTTTGTTGGCGCGCTTTTGTGGGCGCACTTTGATGTCGCGGTTTTGTCACCGCAGTTTTGTCAGCGCGCAATTGTCTAGCGCACATTTGTCAGTGAACCCAATATTAGTAGTTTGTTAATGGAGTTGTATTTATCGGCATTTGGTGTTTAAAAACAGTTATCTTCTATTCCCGTGGATTGTAAACATGAAGTCTGAACCCGAAAGACCTGTATAAAGCCTTGAGATACAACATGGTGTTGGCTATGTATATTTCAGTTTCAAGCTTGTGAATTCTAATATAATCTCAGTTTGCGCAAGGAGTTCAAAACCTATGAATGGTTCTTTCAGCCAATTAAAAGTTTTCTTAAATGACTTTCAGTATTAAATACTTTGATTGTCCTTCCATACTTACTTCTGAATTGTTTTTCTTGGGGAATTGTCGTTGAACAGTATTCTTGGAGACTACTTAAGCATTTCTGCTGTCCTCGCTGTTATATAACTCCCTGTAATTTTAATAAACGTCCTCCTATTATCCTGTCTAATTCTGTCCTGAAATTTAGGAACAATCTTGTTTTTCATTTGTACCTTCGCACATAAGAACTAGACTGCCGGTATTTTCACACTTTTCTTCCAGCTATGCTCCCAATTCTCACCAGTTTGGCTCTTGTCTAGTGATGCAGTGCAGATTCTGTGTTTTGAGCCCTGAGGTATTTTGACAGTGTTTGTAAGGAGCAGTTACAGGTCCATGCTACGTGAGGAAATATTCCAGTCTCTATCTAGCACAAAACGTTTCGTGATGCCCATGCGGCAGTTTACTCACCAAATAGTTAACACTGTTTAAATTAAACAGACTGCTGGAAATGTCTGCTACCTGAGTTAGGAGGGAATATCCGAATTCTGATGCCAGGGCACAGGGCATGCTTGAACTCATCCTGCATTTTTGGTTAGAGCACTTGGGTTATGAGTGCATCTGCAGGGCAGTTTTGACTTAGATTGTCACCAAATATTGTGACGCTGACCATTCTGTCTATTTCTCCTGGAGCAGCCTGTAAAGTCCATCTGCCTACACGTCAGTCTGTTTGAAAGCCAGTAGCTTTAAGCTGGCCCCTTTTCAGTGTTAGCTACCTGTGCTCATTTGTCTGCTGTTACAATACCAAAGCATTGACATCTTGAATGTTGAGACATGCTGTGCCTTTTTCTGGTCCACGATGACTTTAATCGTTGCCATCCCTGATGCAGGGGTAACCGAGATGGCCTCAGCCGGGCTTCAGGCAGCCGCCAGAGCAGCACGGAGAGTGATATGAAGTCCCTGGAGCCCCGGCCGTGGAGTAGCACCGACTCCGATGGCTCGACACGCAACCTGCGGCCTCCGGTCACCAAAGCCAGCAGTTTCAGTGGCATTTCCATCTTGACCCGAGGAGACAGCATTGGCGGCATTGGCAAAGGGAACGGTGCCAACAGGACTGCCAGGCCAGGTATCTCTTCCTTCTTCATTTGCCCCTTTTCAAGTAAAATAAGAAGAGATTCTAAGTTTGTGATGAATACAGCTTGGGGGTAAACCCTCTCTGCTTCCCTTCCAGTGGCTCCCAGCCCACCTCTTATGCATTGGCATTAACACTATAGAAAGATGCAAAGAATTAGAATGCATTAAAGGGAAAAAAGATTAAGAAATTAGAAAACAATCATAAAACTGCATAATTAACAAGAGGGGAAAATATAAGATAGATTGTATATAAAATAGTACAGAATAAGAGTTATAAGAGAAATATATTTACATAGCCAAGGTGGCGCAGTGGTTAAATGCAGCACTGCAGGCTACTGCTAGATCAGCAGGTCAGCGGTTCAAATCT